CTTGGGATGGCAAACTTCTAGGCGCCAATTGGAAATTGCCCACTTCCTCCCATTCCATATCCGTTGCTCGTTCTCTGAGTCAAGCAGGGAGGCACGGGCCACACACACCGCACGCACACATGCACACATGCACACACGCGTACGTGCGCGCGCCTTACGCTCGGTCCATGTCCGTGTCATAGTAAACATAGTAGTTGGTGGACAGCAGACCCAAGTCTTCCTTGTTGCCTCGCAGGCAGATGAAGACAGAGATCATGCTCAAGCCGGGCCGCACCAGTCCCAGCTGCTGCTTCACACCTGCCAAGGGGAGTGGTTGATGCCTGTGTGGACTGAGGCCAGAGATGGCCACTCCCTGCTCCCGGCAGAACCTCAGGGTGCCCACTCACTGCATCTTGAGACTTACACTCAACTGCCAGCCTGGGGACCAGGCCACTTTTACAGCTTTAGTTTCAACTTGGTGTTGGCAGGGGCCTGCTCTTCTCTCTCCTCCTGCCTGGCAAGGACACCACCCCAGGTTCCTACTCTTCCACCTCCCCACCTCTGCTCTGAGCCCCTTCAGAGGCAGGTGACACCCAGCCCTGGCAGCCCTCATGAGCTGGCTCAGCACCTGCAGGAAGGTCAGGCTCACTGCCCCCCGTCTTCCATTTTGTGTCTTGAAGTGGGGAGCGCATGACTGGACTCCCACCCATGAAGACCACACACATGAACAGCAGCTCATTTCCAGCCTGATTGCAGTATTAACTTCTATGCAACTGTCAAGTGAGTGAAAATGCATATTTCCTAGTGTGCTGTCAGAACACAAGGCCTCCAGAGGGCAAGCCATGCATGTGAGTAAAGGCAGGTGGCCTGACTGGTGCTTGGCATCTCAGGACTCAGCTGGAGGGAGGCGGGAGGAACTGCACTATGGCAGAGGCCACAGCCACTGTGGGGCACCTGATGTTCCCCAGACCTAAAGAGCTGGGCTTCTCCACCCCTCAGCAGATGACCCGAGACCGGTGTTCTGGAAACTGCACTCACAGATTCTTCTGTGGTCTTCCCATTCTGGGGACAGCTCTGTCACCTGCCTGAGGGATGGCAGGTCCCTTGGTCCTCTGCTTCATTCATTTAACTAAATATTTTTGAGGCCCTCAGATTGTGTTCAGGAAGAAGATTCACAGGACCAGGGAAAACTGTAATCAGGCAGTGAGAGGAGGGAAGGAGGGACAGGTGACTGTAGCATGGCTGCCTGGCCGGGACAGTGTCAGTGACACAGTGTCAGTCTCCCATTCTGGGATAGGGGAAGAGGGAGGTCAGCATCACAGAGAGAAAGATAGGAAGTAACAAAAGCAGAGTCTGGGCTGGGCCTGGTGTCTCACACCTATAATCCCAGCACTTTGGGAGGCCGAGGTGCGCAGATCACCTGAGGTCAGGAATTGGAAATCAGCCTGGCCAACATGGTGAAACCCCATCTCTACTAAAAATACAGAAATTAGCTGGGTGTGGTGGCATGCACCTGTAATTCCAGCTACTCAGGATGCTAAGGCAGGAGAATCGCTTGAACCCAGGGACTGGAAGTTGCAGTGAGCCGAGATTGCATCATTTCACTCCAGGCTGGGCAAAAGAGCAAGACTTCACCTCAAAAAAAGATATCCAAGAAACAAAAGCAGTCTGTCTGTGCATCACGCCCGGCCCCCTGCCCTTCCCCTGGGCAGTCTCTGCCTTACCTTCTCAGCTCCCTAAGTCTGAGAGAAGGGAGGCCCAAGCAGGCTGCAGGCCCAGCCACATGGGGCAAAGGAAGGAGAGGGTGGTGCTGGTGAAACCACCCTATGCCCCGGAGACAATCACAATTCCCATACCACCCAGTCTCATGAGGAAAGCCAAGACCTCGCTTTACCCACCTAGCCCACTCTGCTGTCCCTTTTCCTGGCTCCTCAGGGAGCAGCTCCCAGGCCCACCCTCTGGGGTTAGGGCTCCTTCCCCTGCTTTCTGGCTCCTGCACTAGCCAAGGTTTCCGCCCCACCACATCCGGAGCTACTCCGTGCTCTCCACCTCCCGCCCAGCCTAAGCCCTTCATCTGACCCGTGTCTCGCCCCTGTTTCTCACCCCTGCTGGGTTACTGCAACCTCTGCCTCCCTCTTCTCAGCGGCCTCCCTTCCTCAGATCACACCAGATGTATCCAGTTACACGAAGGTGGCAGAACCTCTCAGTCACGTTTGCTCAGCAGCTCTGCTCCCCGTGGGCTGCCCTGCTCTCCTGCTTCTCTTCCTGAGGCCTCTTCTCTGGAAGCCCCCTCAGACCAGAGGGACGGGGGAAGCTTGAGCTTTCCAATCAGACCAGCTACTCTGCTCAGCCCTGCCCCTTTCAGCTGAGTGGCCTCAGGACTGTAATTAATCTGTATGGGCCTCAGTTTCCCCAGCTATAAATGCTAGGGTTAGGATGATGTTAGAGGTGGCATTCTCACCTTGCTGCTTAAGGACAATCAGAGGGCCGGCCAAGAAGAGGGGAAGCATCACCCACATGGAGCAAGTTGGCTCCAGAAGGGGACATGTTGGGAAGGCTGCAAGAGGGACAGTGCAGGCCGGGCGCGGTGGCTCAAGCCTGTAATCCCAGCACTTTGGGAGGCCGAGGCGGGTGGATCACGAGGTCAAGAGATCGAGACCATCCTGGTCAAC